CTATGAATGTACACGCATATTCAATTGTCGTTATTGAAAGTTGATCCGCGCTAATGATGTTACTTGTGGTGTTGATGAAAGTACATTACACGTTATTGATACAACTATTGGCACAAATGAATGTACATTTTCTGTTAATGAACAGCAAAAGGTGTACATGTCACTTTTACGTTTTACGAAGTTAACAAATCAGGTTCTACAATTTAAAAGATGTTGAACCAGTATTTACTACTTTACATACATCGATTGGTCGAGCACAAAGCATTCAGTCAAGGCTGCAAGTCAAATCTAAATTTGAACCTTGCAGCCTGGATTGAATGGATTGTGTTGGACCATCGATGTATGGAAAGTGGTGAATCATATTAGCCGTTCCGAGGTTTAGAAGAAAAMAMAAMAMAAAAAMAMAMAAAAAAMAMMAAMAACAATAAACTGATAAATGAACAAATATGTAAATACACTAATAWACTGATAAATAAGTCATATAAATAAACTTAATGAAAGATTTGGCCGACATCTTGGAAGTGGCATCATAAGCGACAACTTGGAAATCTAAATTAAATTTACCGTCTATGTATAAAAACTGATCGACTGTACTTACAGACAGCATTAGGACAGCTGCGTTCAACACGATCATAGACATGATGAATATCTCAAAAGGCTTCGAATCCACAACGCGCCAGACTTTATAAAAACAAGTGGTTTTGTCTTGTGGCATATAACGTTGTCTGGGTCTCGCTGTCATTGCGAACTGAATACAGTCCCGCTTGAAGACAAAATGCAACAATGTGAAGTACATGAATGTTATTAGCCTCTATGTTCAATTTAACAAGGAATTATAAGAATATCTGTTAGAAATCTCGCTTTCTGATTGGTTGGGAGCACGTACATTATGAAAGTACACTTCACACTAGCGCTATCTCTAGTGAGGATGCGAGGCCAACAGTAAAATCAAGGGCGGATCCAGCCAAAATTTTAGGGGTATCTAATTGAGTTTAGAGGGGGGGGGGGGCTAATTGAGTTTCTTCTGTCAACACAACGAAAAACAATATAAAAAAGGATAGTTTTTTTCTGCGGAAGGGGGGGGCTTCAGTCCCCCTTTGCCCCCCCTTGATCCGCCCTTGAAAATACCGGTAAAACACAAAAGAAATTTCACAAATTCCATCAAGAAGAAGCGGGATTTCTTTTGTTGTATTTTGCTGTTTGTACCGGTTGGCCTTTTTCCGCATAACAAGTTTCTCCATGATTCAATATTTAAATAAAAATGAGAAAATGAAGTAATAACTATAATAATAGATAATAACTCYTTATTTTTTAGTAATGAAGTAAATGGTGCAATGCAGTGTGGTAGTGTAATACTCTGATTATCCAGTCAGTACCTGATTTCTAGTGAGTTCACATCCAACCATTTCCTTTTCTCCCTGTTCTTGAAACGTGACAATAATAAGAGCAACGAAGATGTTTAAAAAAAAGAAAGAAAAAACGACCACGAAGCAGACATAGTAGATCGATACGTGCATTTGGTAGTCCCTGCGAGGACCTTGGTCTATGCCAGTGGCATCTATCGTATGGTACATAGCTCTAAAGACACAGCCAAGAGGATTGATTCAGTTTGGAAACAATGTGAATGGCTTAAAAATATACGAGGAGAAATAATGATTGGGTGAGAATTGTTTAATACTAACGTTGGCCATCCTTCGCCAGTTGATAACGAAAACACGGTTAACATGGCACGAGGAACACTATCAAAATTAAAATTCCTTCGTTTCCATTCTCGAGGTTTGACCTGTTTAAAATAAATAATTTGCCAGGTGTTAGCCAGGATTATTTGATTCTACCACGACCACGTTGATATTCAACACGGCTATGCAAGCTTATTTTCTAGATACTAACCTCAAAATTATTTAAGCTGATTTTTGTGTCAACGGTATACTTGAAATAATATCCTCTGTAAAAAAAAKGAAATGTTTGGTCAACGGCGCGCTTAAAACCTTCGAAATATAGAAACTAAATCAACGCTATGAATGTATGCGTATAAGTGTGTAATAATAGCTRGTCATCATAGTCATCATAAATCATTATCATTATCATCTCATCATCCTCATCATCATTATCTTGATGATAATGACCATGAGGGGATAATACAGGGAGCTCCGCTTATAGGCTTTGCCTAAATTTATTAGTTCATTATATAAACCAAACTAGGTCATATTTTATTCTATAACCTATTTACCTATACAAGGAATACATACTTGCAATCCTTTTCAGTTTCCTTTGACGAATCTGTGCAATAAAAAAACTTTCCCTGGAAGTAAAAAATGTCCAAATACCACAACAATATGAATAGGAGTAGGAGTAGGAGTAGGAGTAGGAGTAGGAGTAGGAGTAGGAGTAGGAGTAGGAGTATCATAGAGACGTTTCAGAAGATTTCTATTTAATTAACTGAGATGTAATGCGTGAAAACTACATTGAACAGCAAATACCCGTTTACATTTTAGTGGGATGGCCCTACTGCTAGCGTTCTGGTGATACATACGACACTAAGTTCGMGAATTAAACAATCGGGTCACCTGTTAAGAGGCGAACACTCTCAACACTAAGCTACCCCTACTTCCTAATAGATAACGAAATTGTTACCTTGAACAACTGGACGCCTATAACAGCAAATATGAAGTAGAATAAAGCGGTAATAAGAAGAATGTTCCTGACATTCTTTAGAGAGAACACCATACACTGAAATACAGTCTGTAATATCAAAAATAGTGAGACATTTAGATATTGAGCATACTATTCTTTTACTGAAAATATATTATAATCCATTAATATTCTCGGCGGGAAAAGAAATCAAAAATGTTCCAAACAGTTGATAAGAAGAAAGAAAAAGAGTTAGGAAACCCTGTAAAAGCAAAGAATGATGATTAAAAACCATACCTTAAGATTTTTAGATTTATTAATGGCCTTGAGAGGACGTAACACACGTAGAACCCTGAAGGATTTAATAGCATCCTGCACAGAACTGTTATCTGAGTGCGAAGGGTCTTCAGTTTTCCTACTGRTTGGAAGTTTATTAAGAACTTATTAATAATTCAATAATGTTAAAGTAAACCAGGGACAAGCACAAACAGAATTGCAAGCCGCATAATAACACGATATTATAATGACGTCACCTAGTAAAAGGAACTGCACTGTTTAACACGAGTGAACAACATCGGCGCCGCATCATGATCTGCACATGATACAGTCAATTCAAAAAWCGTTGTCGTCGACCGGCTCAAGCCTACGCGACTGGACCGAAAGAAATATGGGTAAAAATCAATGAAGCGGTTAAATATTCGTTCTGAATTAATTGTTCCCGCTAGTTATAAGATAATAATGGCGAGAAACAATCCATCAAATGCATGTCTTTGGGTTTAGTGAAAGAAAAACAAAGTGGTTATGACTCAGTTCACAATTTCGAAAATATGAAGGCATTAATGAACGTCTCCTTCAACACTTCCCGCTCGCCTACGAAGGTTCGTGCTGTAAACCAGGCATAACTAGTCAGATAAAATTATGGAGTCAACTCGGCTTCAATGATTGCTACCCAGAGTTCCTTTCGGTCCAGTCGCGTAGGCTTGAGTTGGTCGACGACAACATTTTTTGAATTGACTGTATGCTTGCGACACTTTGCGAAWATCGTTTGGCATTTTGTGGAGTCGATTGGACGGGCAAGTTTTAAAGTCAAATTTGCATACTTTGCATAATGTCACTTTCTATACAATAATTTCTTGTTTAACGATTGTACACGAGAAGATACATGACTATAGATACRACACAAAGCAAACAATCTCATTCTCAAGGGAATGACGCGAGGTGTGGAATGAAAAAAAAATTACGCCCAAGCCGAAAAGGTCTATTTGCATACGGCGAATATGCGTTATGCTAACTTTATTTTCAAAATTTAGTAATAAATTATCGTTATTTATTAGGGAAAAAGGACATTTCTTTCTCAGTAATACGCTCTTAAATTATTGTGCTCAAACTGCAAGTATGCCCAAATATTCTTTAGTGTCCTCCCGCTATTCTTTTTTTTTAAGTTCTAAAAAAAAAAAAAAAAATGAAAATGTGTCTAAATACAAGGGATGCTAAGAGAATATGAGAGAAGGGTACGAAAACCACGACGCGTATTTGTTTTATATTTTTTAATATGTCGTCTTAGAGCAATCTTAAATACTTACTTAAAAACAAGGGCAGCGATATTGCAAGCCACCACAAAAGCGTCAATGACGTTCCACCAATCCCTCAGATATGAACCTTTATGAAAAATGACTCCCAGATCAATCATCTGATGAAAAACACAACCATAAAAATGTCATGCCATTGTGCTATGCTACTAAGTTAATGTCAGCTTTTGGGGTAACTTGTTTTTACTTAATAACAAAAGCAAAAATTACCGAAAAATGAATTTGAGATAATATGATTAAAATGTACAACAATTATACTTTAGCGAACGAAACACATACCTTAGCAATCACCTCCAGGGCGAATATGGCTGTTATGACGTAATCAAAGTATCCAAGGACCTGGAAACCAAACAATAGRCTATTTTAATCAGTTTTTTGCGATRCTTAGATGGGGTTATAATGAACCAAAATTACCACGTACAGCGCACCGGACTATTTATTTGAGTGACCTAAGATAGGTGTGGGCGAAATGATYATAAGAAGACGTGCGGCTCGGTAAATATTTACCGATAATTACCGAGTCTGAGGTTAATAATAGTATAATTCTATATAACTTTATAATTTTAGACTTGACTGGGTCAGAGAAAAGACGAAATTCTGGATTAAAGAACGTTTTGAGTATAACTTCGGGTCTATAATAGACTCTATGCAGTTAACGGTCACGTGTCTGTACTGGAGAGCAAAATTTTTGTTTTTATTTTAAATTGGTGATTCTTGAGCTACTTGTAAAGAACTGAATGAAAACATGGTTATCCAGTATGTTACGAAATACAGTTTTATTACGATCTYTCGAAACAGGTTGTAGAAAGTTTGTTTGCAGTCCAGTAAATTTCACCCATGGGAATCAAGATGTTCATTCATTTGCTCTCATCAGTGAATTAATCAGCACGTGATTACTAAGCTGCCTAAATTTTTTTGGAAAACCTCATCATCACYGCTCGAGCACTGATCGTCTCGAAATCACTGCTCAATCTCAGCGCGCGAAACTCTATTTTCAAATCTAAAATTACACTAAAATCAGCTAATAAGGAAACTCTAAGAGAAGGTGTGAAGTTTTTATTAGAAATGGTGCAGAAAAGGACTCACCTCGTTTGTGTAGCTCTCAGGATTGACGGGGTCCTCAAATGCCAATAGTATACTACTAATAACAATAATGAATAAAATAAAGGTGTCGAAGTAGCGAAGATTTACCATCCAGTGACAGAAGCGACGTACTCTGTGAAGCAAATAAAAATGCCGTCAAAATTGATACAAAATACATTTGATACTTTTTTTTAAGCTTTGAAATGATTTTGCATTTGTCAGTATTATTTTAAAGTGGTCTTGGGAAACAAGGGGGATGAACGATCAAATGCTCTCTTCTCGTTTTAGCCAATTAAATTGGACCGATTGAAGTGGATCTTCGCGACTAGGTCAGTCGGGAAGAACGACTGTAGATCGACYTGGGGTCAAACGTGGAACCTCACATGTGCCGATCTAAATGCATAAATCATGATATTAATGTACGTTTTGCACTCATTTTGATTATTCTTTGCCACCACGCATGCGCCGTTAACAAATTTTTTCAACATGGCTGCTGCAGTTGAATGGTGCAACTCACGATTTGACTATGGACTTGCATTATGATGGTGTAACCGCTGACTGCATAAACATTAAACATGGTTTGTTTGGTTTGATCGACATAAATAAYTTTGACGTTTGAGTCAGTCAGTCGAACTTAATTATATTAGTCGATCCCAAATACAGTTAGGTTCGGCTCGTGTAAAGTTCGACGTTTGACCTTAGATCAGTCCTGAATTTGTTTCAGGGCTGAAAAAAAATACAACCCGAAAACTGATTTGAAACAGCAAGTTGTAAGATAGATTAAAGATTAGCCATGGTCTCACCTGCTTAATATTTAATACCTAGTATAATTAACAATTTTTCTTTAAAATATACTTCACCCCTTGCTGACCGCCGGGAGATTAACTCTACGCACCTTTGCCTCAAAACATAAAACATTGCAAAAGGTTTTTTTTCCCTCTAATTTTATCTTTTATTTTTATCTAACTTTGGTTCCATCCGGCCCACCCTGTCGTGTAATGACGTCATATTTGATTAATTCATCGTCTCTCTAACCCACCCCTCCCCGTTAYATATCATAATGTTTATACTTACGGATTATCAGGACCAAATATAAACATTGCGTTTTTCCTTATAATAGGTATATTTGATCTATGAATGTTACGTCTTCTCATGATCTTTCCCTCGGTTCTTAAGCTGAGCGAGAAGCGGTGTGGAGAAGGGGTTCTGCTTAACATTTCTAAAAAATAAAAGCGAAAATATTTATATTTGCATAATTTTATGTGGCAAGTCTCGGTTGCCCACACGGACTTTTTAAAATGGTGTTTTAAAGCCCCGTTTACACTGGCGATTTTTGCGGTGATTTTCGAAAATATGAAATCTTTTGTCTCATCCTTCAAAAGAGACATTCGTCTAGGAAAATCTTGGTATCCTGAGAAAAACTTTACAAGTAAATTCTTTATCATTATTTATTATGGACAAAATCGCAAAAAAATCGCAGCAAAAATCGCTAGTGTAAACGGGGCTTAACAGGTTTGGTCGGTGGTTGAGAACGCCAAGGTTGAGCGTTTTTAAACTTTTTTAAAATAAATATTTCTATTCTATTTTCACTATAAAACAAACATATTTGAAGCCACGTCATTAAAATTCAACACAATGTCATTAAAGTATCGATATGGCACATCGTAATGTAACAAACATCATGCTATTAAATGACACTTAATGTCTGGT